GGTTCTGACTCAGTGGCCTTTTGCACAACAGAATGAAACGCTGCCCCCTCCTGTGTCAGCCTCACAGCCATGCAATGCCATCATGTCCCTGACCAGTTTCCTCTTTTTCACTGGCCCTCTGCTTTACAAGCACGATGTCTCTTTTCGAGGACTGGTCCAATAATAGCTGTGCACAATTCCCTTCAGTCATTGTGTGGGAGGCAAAAGCTTTTCAACTAAACCAGACCAAACCCACTGCCATCCATTGATTTCAACCCATAGCGACCCTACGGGACAGACTAGAAGTGCCTCTCTTTGTATTTCCCAGACTAAAAACAAAGCTTCATCTTTCTCCCTTGCAGTGGATGGTGGGTTTGACCTCCTGACTTTATAGGTAGCAGCCCAACACATATTAAGTCATTCACTACACCACTGTCAGAGATCCACAGAATGTCTTCAATAAAGGGTCAGATAGTAAACATCTTCTCTTTGTTGCAGCTACTCAACTCTGCTGTCTGTCACATAAGGTATAAAGAAGCAGGCATACTTTGTAATGGCAGACCACTGTCTGGGGCTATAGCTCTGTTTCTCAGGGTCTCTAGATTGCCTTTCCTCCTCTTCCCCCTCCTCCTCCTCCCCCTCCTCCTCCTCTTCCTCAGGCTTCACAGGGACAGAAAACTGGATGCCCTGCGTCCCCTTCGTGAGTTGGAAAAATAGAGAATTGGTGGTTGGGGGGGCGGGGGGTGGGCATGAGAGAGGTTTGCGGTGGTTTACTTCCCGCAGCTCCCTTGAGTTTCAGAGCCTGCATGGAGGTCAGTGGCTGGCCATGGTCTACAGCTGTCACTTGCTGGCCCTCAATCCTCTGTGCACCCACTAACTCTGAGGGTAGGTTGCCTTGTGGCATACACTGCCTGTCTTTACAGACTTTGCTGGGGCACCTGAGTGCAGCCCCTTGGTGTTGCTCTGCCCAATCTCTGAAGTCCCTGGACTGGCTCTCCCAGCCCTTCTTTTTCCGAGTTCCCCCTTGAACTTCTTGAGCAAGCCCCTCTGGTTCTAACCTTGTTCAGGAAGCTCCCAGTAGGACTGTCCTAGCCTGAGAGATCTGCGTGAAGAACAGGCTGTGTTGCGCTATCACCTCAGCCTCATTTGAAACACCAGCCCCAGGCTCGCTTCCCCCAGCTTGTGCCTCCTAC